CACTTATACGTGGATTCTAAGGAGCTGAATGGATGGGAGAAGTGGATGGAGATAGTCTCAGAGACACAGAGGAAGAACTGAGGGTTGCTAGTAGGGAAGGGGTGGGGATGAAGGAGAAGGGGAAGGGATGAGACAATACAATTGGGTAATTGTAATTTGGCCGCAGGGATAGAAAAAGCCGCCAGTGTTTTTTCATTGGAGACATTTCCTCAAATTTTAATTATCAGCCATACTGCCTTAAGGTACTTAAACATTTCTCTTGTTTAGAATTAAATCTATGTCTCTGAAAGTTGACACCTGAGGTAGACAGGACCCATTCATAGAATTTCCTTTCCAGTCATTAAGGTCCTTGTTACTCAAAATGGGCCACAGCATGGCATCTCCTGGGAGCTGCTTAAGAATGCAGAGTCTTAGGGCCCAGTGCACACCCTCTGACAGAATCTGCATTTTAATCAAATCCACAGAAGATTCCTATGCACATCAAAGGTTGAGAGCATGGATTTGGTTTGTACTTTTTCTTAGATAAGATGACTAGGACTTCATAACTACCCGTATTTATGGCCAACTAAAAAGTATAACACTCAAGATTATGTATATCATTTTTTAAAAACATTACATGTCTTGTTTGCTTGTAAACACCTCTTAGATATGGAAAATCAACAAAACAAAATTCCCAATGTGTAAGCATTTAATCTACAAGCAGTAGATTCCGAAGTCCCCGAGGAATAACAATTCCAGCTACATCATTAAACATTTTGCTGTGAATAGCAAGTCTCTCCATTCCAGATAATATTTTTTTAAAAAAGACTTTCTAAGTTAAATCCCACACCTATTGTAAGTTATGTTAGTTCAACACCACCACCACTGTTTAATGCTTTTTTAACACAAATGTTTAATGTTTTAAGCATAAAACAGGGTATAAATTAAACTTTAGAAAAACAGCATGAGAATTTGAGAGTACAACCCTGCCTTGATATAATATTTTTTATTTTCTTTCAAAGTGTTTCCACCCATAGTCTGCATTAGTCATATTCTCATTCAAGAATTATGTCCAAAAATATCAAATTTTTTAGTAGGATGAAAAATTATTAAAGAAATGAAAAAAATAGTTCTT